AGTTCTACGATTACTTATTCATACTTAAGAGGTAAAGTCAATAAATACTAGACATTGCATGTAGTAATTGATCTTATGAAACTTATTTGTCAAATATTTATATTATACTTTCTAGAAGAATATTTATTTTTAAAATTCTAGCAAAAATGATATATTTTTTTTTCTCTATATATATATATTTTCTTCATATTTATAAAGTTTCATCATCGATACATCGATGAATTAATTAATGGTATTTCAATAAAAAGCATTCCATCATCCATAACTTGTGATGTAACGTTATATTTATCAATTCCATCGGGTAAACGAATACTTTGACTAAATTGTTTACTGTCAGATTTTTTTGATGATGAAGATTTTTTTCTTCCTTGCACTAATAGATTATCATCAAGTAAACGTACTGTTAATTCATCTGGTTCATATCCACGTGTGTCAACTTTTAATGTTAATTTTTTACGATTTGGTGAAAATGATGGATGAAATTTCGATTGTAAAAAATCTGCAATATTAAATGTAGTTGAATATTGTCGATGATCCATATCAACAAGACTACCAGTACGTTTATGTACTGTTGCTGGTTCTTGTCGAAGTGATTGTTGATTATTATCAGTTACATTTGCTTGTGAAATTGAACGCATATAATCATTTTTACTTTGTTTTTTCGGTTGATCAATTGCTCGTAATAATTCTTCATGTGAACGTCGTGTTGCATCATTATCCCTCAACATAGGTATATCAATTGTTAATATACCATTATTTCGTATAATAGAACGAATTTTATCAATATCGGCACCGGGTGGTATAGGAAATGTTTTAACTAATTCTTTACGAAAAAAATTATCTGCAGCAAATTGATCAAGATGTAGAGCATGTACAAGTAATGTATTATCACGTCGAAGTTTAACAGCTATTTCACCACGAGCAAATTCCGATACATTTACTTCAATACGAGTTGTTTCAGATAATGGAGTAGATAAGTTTTGCATTTTCGAGATTGTAAATTAGAGAATTAATTAAAATAATATGAAATCTAAGAAAGAAAAAAAAATAGTTTGATTCTATGAATTTAAATGTCTAGTAAATTCTTTGCATTACAGATTTCAACACGCCTATTTATACTCGACATACTATTATGAGTTTTCAAGTATTTTTTCAAGAGGATCTTTTAACAAGTGAATAGATGACCTTGTCTATAGTTGTCAATTCTTTTCTATTATTTTAAGTTAAAAGAGACTACAAAAAAAATTAAAAGTGGTCCATATCTTTTTCTTTGAAATAAATCATTTTTATTGTTGACTGTAATTGAGATAGAATTCTAGAATTTTAAGAAAAATATCTTTGATTGTTTTCCGGGCATTTCCGGAAAACGTCAAACTCAATAATATTCTTTTCTATCGCCGATCTACACAAGAAGAAAACAACAACTAACATTCAAAAGTATTCATTAACGAGTCACTTAATTCTTCTATGTCTATATCCAACCCTAAAAATATAATAATCCTATTAATAATAAATCTGAACTCTGGATTAGAATGTTTAACCAACTGTGTATATAGATCATCAAGGTTTTTACTTTTTTGATAAATCTGATATTTAACATGACAAATGTTTTATTCTTCTTCTTCTCTGTACCTAGACGATACTTGAGTAGCTGTCAAATAACAGAAAAACGACATTCAAGGATTTATAAGATTATAAAAAGTAAAACTTTATTGAAGAAGATAACATTAGTCTTTAAACAAAAAAGAAACCGCAATGTTTTCTATGCGTTCGATCGAATGATTTGCATGACTTTCTATATTTATTAATATTAGTCGACATCTCTCTCTCTCTTCTCTGTATACAAGCGAATATGATTCTATTTTTCTTTCTCTCTCTATTTCTCTCGTTTCTATTATTAAGATGGCAAACTGATTTGATTGTATTTCTTTTTTGCTAACATGTTTTGGGGATTAATATTATTCAGTGTAGCAAGTGCGGCATCATAATAACAAATTCAAGGTCTTAATCAACTATGACAACATTCTTACTTGTTTTTAGTTAGTTGAAAGAAGAAGAAGGAGAAAAAAGAAAGAAAGAAAGAACGTTTTATATCGTAAAAAGAATATTAATTTGCATAGAGAAGAGATCGTATGTAATACAAAGAAAAATGGAGAATTTAAAATTTCTTTTTCTTTATTGTCGATTCGCAGATATAAAATAAAAGATTGTTCGGAGCATTTATTTCAAGGATCAATAAATGACAACTTAGTATAGACAAACACTGCTATATAAAAAAATGCTCGATTACCCTCTTGTTGTTTTATTAGAAAAGTACTATACCAATAAAATGTGTCAATCATTTACGTTTCTTTTATTATTTTAAAAATATAAAATATTGCTCGAAAAAATTACTATAAGTATCAGTGTTTACTAACTTACCTGAAAGGGCGAATAAAACTGTATCGGTGACACACTACCAATTTGTCTAAAATACTGATTTTATCATTTGTATCTGTAAATATTATTAAAAGAAAATTAGTGTGCAAGTCGTGTTGTCGTTGTTTTTATCGATAGACCACTAACGAGCTCCGCTCCCTCTCTCTTTCAAACGACGTACCGACACAAAATAGGGCAACATGTTTCAATAAGGGAATGTGTGCGGCTTTTTCTCTCGCTTTTCTTCTTTTTTTTTTCGATAGAAAGAGTAAAAGAAAAGAAAAGAGGCGGTAATCGTTATAGCACTGCTGCCGACTGTCAAAAAGAAGCCCAATGATGATGATGAGCAGCCAAAAAGACGAAGAAAAAAAAGAAGAAGAAGAAGAAGAAAAGAATACGAGTAGTTTGGCTTAGTCGACAAAAAAAAAAGAAAAACTCATGAGAAGACTCGTTTCTCACTGTCCTATTGTACGAGTAGTGCCAAACGTTTTTTCACATTTTCTTCCCCGCACTTATACGATTACAAATGTAAGCAATATACCATTCGATGGTTTGAATGCCAGCAAGCAAGCGTGAACTTTATTTTAATAGAGAGACACATGCATATATTTTGTTGAGGTATATGTTCAGATGTTGTCTACTATGATATATAATATATAATCAAAGTCAATATTTAACTAATAGTAAAAAGAGAAAATGAAGGACGTGCGTCCTATTAACCATTTTTACATACAAAATAATCTCTCTCTCTCTTAAGAAAATGAAAAGATAAATATATAATAAACTAAAAAAATAAATTGTTATAAAAATGAAAAGCAATATATCAATCTTATCATGTCAATGAACAAAGTTTATCGATGTGTTAATAAACAAGCAATATATTCTTTAACATTACATATAAAATATAACATACTATTTATTATTCATTTTCGCACTTGTTTTATTCAATGAAATATTTGGCATGTAAGAATCTCAGTATATGCATAGTTAACAAATCATATAAGGGATTGTCGAAGGTCATATGCATAAAGGCAAATAAAAAATTTTTTTTCGATATGAAATAAGATTGACCAATTCTTTACGAATAATAACATATACAACGAAATTAATTGATTAGACTTTCTCTTCTCTAGGGAAATTTGTATGGATGACATTATATATTATTATGAATATTTTAATTACATATGTCAACAAAAAAATGGATAGATTATAAGCTTATCTTAACTGTCGATGAATTATTTGTATAACAATGAATATTTAATTAAATATGATCAGTGAAGTTTTGACATGATAATTAGAAGCTTTATCTCGGTTGAATGAATGGGAAATTGAAAGAAAAGTTTTTCATCAAAACTTCCACAAAGATTACAAAAGGTATAAATATGAGATAATTAACTTCTATTTGTAAAAGTAAAAGACAAGTTTACTGGAAAAGATCAATTGAACAGTTAAATTTTATTGAATCTGATTAGAATACTGTGGAAACATCCATTGATAAAATTATCTCCGAATTTATTGGTATAGGGAATCTTATCGAATTATAATATTAC